CTATTTTTAACAATAGAAAACAATGTTAATAATTTACGAACTGATTAAGCTTTTAATTGATTATAATAAACGTACACTATTCTTCAAAGGGATAAAACTTTGTGATATGGTAAAAGATTCTAAAGCTGATTTTTTTTGGGCAAATTTAAAGATTTGCTCATACGGCAAAAAACAACGGGATATTTTGGCAACGCTCTTCCGAAAACAAGGCCCTTTTGACATTTTTGAATGATATGTTGTACTCAAAATAATTGACAATTATAAAAGAATCACGAATATAAAGAGAAAGACTAAGGTGACCAACCAGCTTTGGAGCCTGCTTCTCAATGTTCGAGTCCTACTTTGGTCTCGACCATGTTTCTTAAAACGACAAAATTATCAGTAAATTCCTTGAAACCGATAAGAAGATGGTCTTAATAATGGACACACTCTCTTCACACCTGTACTTGAATAATAACTTGTTACACTAATATAACGAACCACTAGCAGTTAAAATATAAAGAATTACGTTAACCCTTTCCCTCATGAGCATATTGTGAAAAATGGCTGTTTTCATTGAAAAGCCTCCTGTTACAAGTTCAAACTGCTATGAAACTATGAAAAATGCTTCAATATTAATCAAACTTGGCACAAATATTGACTGGACCATTGCCTTTGTAACGACATGCTCAGTCTTAAATTTCCTGTTACCATGGCAACGAGGGGACATCTCAAAATTGCCAAAAATCACTATTTTGCCTTGATTTTTTCCATCAAAATTTATTTCAAAGTGCTGCAACTTCTCAAGGGATTGAGATAGAGTCAAAGGCTTTTCAGCGTTGGTTACACGTTACCTTATGGTCGACCTGGGGTCATTTTTAGCCTCTCACAAGTCCAAAATTTTCTTGGCGATGAGGGGGACTACCGCCCCCTTCAAACCCCCATACAGAAGGGGGCACATCCCGGCAAACCCCTGATTATCTTTTGGATGGGGGGCGGCGCCGAAAAAGTGCTCACTTTTTTAGCAACAATTCTCAAACGAAAACATGTGTTTGGGGCCCAAATAGGAATTTTTTTCACTATTTTAGGCCTTAAAGAGGGGGGGGGGGGGGGCGAAAGTTCGTTGTTTCGCGTATATATGAGGTAAAGGTTAAGACATAATTCAATTGCCAAATCTGAATAAGAAGAACAAAAATGCGTTTTTTTTTTAAAGAAAATACGTTAATCTTAAATCATTCTGCTAAACTGATGATTATGACACTCTGCAAAAAATATAATTTTATCATGATTTAAATTTATAATGCACATTTTAAATATATAAAAGTTTTAGTCCGTTATCATGTATTGCGTACCCATTATTTTGTTGCGCCCGTAAGATATACATATATATGTGTACTTCATATAATGTAGGTTAAATATATATATTTTATATAAAAAATATACATCTATTTTACAATGACTGTACATTAAAGGGACTCCACTGAGGTTTAAATGCCTAAAAACAGATCATTTGAATTTCTTACATGAATGAGCTGTGGCACTTTAAACAGAAATATATGCAAAGATAGTTAAGAAATATACTTTGAAATAAATTGAAAATCGTATTTTTATGCTTTTCATATCCCTATTTGAGTGAAAAACGTTTAAACGCTTTTCATTTTGGGTCATTTTTTTACAACTTGAATAATTATTCTGGAAAAACAAAGTGCGCGAATGATCTGAAATTTTGCACAAATATTAGTGGTCTTAACCTACATCAAATGGTACATTTATCCGGAAAAAATATTTTCAGTACCATCATGTCAAAAAAACCTCAGTGGAGTCCCTTTAAATAAAAAACAACGTTGAAATAGAACGCTAAATATATAAATATAAACTTATCGGACTATAATAACCACCATTATCTACGCCTGGTAACAATCCAACTTGACCTACATTATATGAAGTACACAATGACCACATGTTAGAATGTGAACGAAATGCACGTGAGTCCAAAGATCAACTGATATCCATAATCAAGTTTTAACACACTGCAGTTTATTTATCAAAGTACAAGAAGTACATTTGTTTGAACTTCGATTAATAAACATTTTACACCCGTCAACCGGACCATGGCCCCACACGTTCGAAAGGACAAGAGATAGCGGGCATTGGAATTGAGTCGAGGTTGTAACTTTCGTCTGTCTTTACACTTCCGGGTCAATGCGGTGGTTTCATTTTGGCGCCAAAATAGCCTGAGATATGATTGGGCTTATGGTTGGGATTTTACCATATGACAGTCTCCCTATGGTGGATTCTTTATCTTGGGTTTAAAAAAAAAATAAAAATCGAAGTCTCGACTATTTCGAGTAGGGCGGCCGACGAGATAACTTGCTAATGCAAAGTGGTTATCGTTGTATATCTTTTTATATACTAAATATTACATATAATAAAATACTTAAATAAGGAATTTAAGTTTGCATCATATGCATATTTCATATAAATACATTATAAAACAAAAACAGATTTATTTTGAAAATGCCAAAATGAATTATTTTGTTGTTTTTTGGAAAATGTTGCAGTGTTAATTTGTATATATATTTCACCTAATTTTATACTATAATTCAACTATGAATTCCGCCTTAGTTTAAGCAACACAAAAGCATGTGATTCTGAAAAAACTACTATATTAAAATATTTATGCATTAAAGGTGTTATTGTTTTATATGACAGATTTTAATACATGGAATGATTATGTAATTTTAGGAGCACTTTTGTTCTTCTTCAAAATGTAACTATATTTATGATAACGATAGATTTAAAAAAAAGAAGAAGGCATTACAACACATCCAAAACTATTGATTTTTTTTTCATTGTACCGTTACTTAACTCAATGCGCAAATGATGTTTTTCTTAATGGATTTTGAATGCATCAAAAGTTTTGACAGACCGTTGCAAAAAATAAGATAAGAAATAGTTCAGAAATATGTTTACTTTAGCACGGAATTCATGGTTATATTTGTTTTGCCTTTTAAATTTTTAAACAGAACATAATTTGAATAGTCATGTATTCATAATTAAAGGGGACAGAATCTGTAACCGCATTAAATCTGTCAAAGTTATCATGATACTTCACTTTTTTATTTGTTATCAGATAGGTTTTGCAAATTTATAAAGCAAGATGCAACTAAATATATCTTGATTGACAACTTTATAAACATTTCTCTAGCTATTTTTGGGGATAATTGATTTATTTTTTTGTCGTTTTGAACAACTTAACATGTATTACAATGTTTGAAAATTTAGCGATAGGTCGCAGTATGTTGTTACAAGTAATTATCATTTGTGAGTAAATGTCAAATCAAACAAATGACAGGTAAGTCATAGCTAGCATTACTAACATCAATTCTAGTCTTGCACGTCTTTAAACTAAGTTGTATCTTGTCTAAAATATGATCACTCCGTACCAACAAATAACATAACAAATTGGAAACAATCAATCAAATCTTTACAATACCGCAATTTATATAAAGAAATTAATTGGCTCTCACTATCTGATAGAAGAACGTACCAAAAACTTATTTTAACATATAGAATTCATAATGGAGACGTTCCTGATTATTTAAGTAATATTTTTCCAGAAAAAGTTCATAATACAACACCATACAATCTTAGAAACTCAGATGACTTTGCAACTTTAAACAGACGGACTCATATATTTTCTTCTTCTTTTGTGCCTTCGTCCGTAATGCTATGGAACAACTTGCAACCTGAAACAAGATCTGTAGAAACTCTGTCACATTTTAAATCTCTATTAAAGAAATCAATCTTTCGATCTACAGACACTCCAAAATGGTACCTTACAGGTGAAAGAAAACTCTCAGTTTTACACTGCAGACTAAGAAATGCATGCAGTAACTTAAATTTCCACTTATTCTGCAATCACTTGTCACAGGATGCAAATTGTTCATGCGGTTATGAGATAGAAGATGTTAACCATTTTTTGTTTACTTGTCCGAAATATCGAAATGAGAGAATCGATCTTTTTAACGAATTAAGGCAATTTCACCCTTTAAATGTCCAATTACTTTTAGTTGGTAACAAAGAGTTGTCTTTAGAAAATAATAATAAAATATTTTTGACTGTTCAGCATTTCATAAAAGTAAGCAAACGCTTTTGATTTTGAAAACAAACCAGCACAATCTCAATAAATGTTAATGTATTTTTGTTTCATTTTTGCAAAACAATAGACAAGATTCTTTTCTTTCTTCTTCTATTTTTTTTTTATTCTATATTTCATTTTCTCAAAATCTATTTTTGAATTTGGTATATTCGGCAAATGTACATGTTTTCTAAGTCATTGTAACGCAAATATATATAAATCAGTTAACATCGTTAAATACCATTCAAGCTAGAGAACATGTACACCCAATCATTTTTATTGTTCTTTCTTACCTAAAATCATTTTTAAAGCCAAGTACTATATATGTGTGAGTTTTGTTACTTCTATCTAACTGATAGTCATTCTTGTAAAATAAGTTATTGTAATTTATTGCATCAGGGAAGACCCGTTGCTAATGTTGAGAGAACTTGTGGGTCAACCCTTTTGCCAAATATGTCATGTCATTGTATTGTAACTGTCTACATGTATGTATATGTCTTATTTTTGGCAATAAAATATGTTTAAATCAACGATACCGCAAACTAATTAAATAACGACAAATAAATATCCTCTTTTATAAGTAGAAAACGTTCAAATGTTCATAAAAATAATTCCATAAAAGTCAAACTCTTTAATGTCTGATTCCCTAACCATAGACACCATCAGGCGTACTTTCAATTGTGGTTTGCAGTCTTATTTTGAATTACGAGCAAAACGTTTATGAGTCATTTAATATTTGTCCAATGAAATTGCTATCTGTTATGATTGTCATATGTCTTTAACAGAAAAGCGAATCAAGAAAAGTTGCTGATTAATTTATGCGTTAGTATAAATACCAGTGTTTATGTAATTAAAATATTCATTTGCTTTTAAGCTATCGTGAAGAAGCAGTCAGTGTTAGTAGATACCATCTTTGATGAAGGTTTGACTAACCGTGTTCTTTTTATGATTATTAGGAATACCACAAGGAGTTACCCTTAGGGCTATTTTGTTTATTTTAGAAATATTGGATACTTTGATCATTTGTCAGTGGACACAATAGTTTTGTTAAACATTATTGCCTTGGGATAGATGGTCAATACACATTTGTCATAATTGACAAGCTTTAGACAAAACAAGTGAACAAAGGTGTAAAAATAGATATCTTTAAGGACAACACTTTCCTTCTGGCGTTTTTAATTAAGGGAGACACACAAGTAGAGATTTAACAGGAGATTGTAACAGTGAGATAAAGTTCAACATTTTAATACCTTTTAAGGTAAATTAATTTAAGTACTTACCTAAGTCAGCAAGTTTGAAATTTAGTGTTATAAATATAACTGAACAGCGGATGTTATCGTATATCTTCACAGATAAATTATCTGATATCTCAGCAGATAAAAACTATCGAAATCAAGTAATAAAACTTTACATAAACTCGGATATATTCAATCTCGAAAGATCTAGAGCTTCAAGGAAAAATCATTAAAATGATGTAATAAGAAAAATTCAATCGCCAAGGACATTACAACCTACTACGAAAACGAACTCCTGAACATTACGAAACGTCATTCTAATAATAGTTACAAATAAGTAATTACAGAGCGTTACACGGTAATACAAAACGTCTCGGTTTGATGGATGAAGCGTGTTGTTATAAGGACACCACCGCTATAATAAACTCGTACGAAAATTACGTTACAACCTCACAGTTGAAGATGAACAACGACACAGTGAACACGATTTTAGCTTGCGATGAATGTGAAGAAATGAAGAAACTTGACGGAATAGACTGGTACGCTGGATTGTTCTCAAAACTGGTGTTTCTTGCCACGCTAATGATTCTAACGTCAACTGCAAATATTTCTTTAATGTATATTGCCAGTAGAACAAAATCGCTTGTTAATAATACAAAAGTATTTTTCAATAGCCTATGCATGGCACATCTTATGGGGAGCTTTATTGTGATTCCGTTTTGGATTGTGACAAGGTTGTCTCCTGAAATGGCAAAGAACACACCAGGATTTTGTGAGGCATCTTCATTCTTCTGGATATTAATGATTCTTGCTTCATTTTATTCATTATCAGCGCTATCTCTTGACAGATTTTTCATAATTTCAAATCCGATGAGATACCCAATTAAAGCAACGACGAACAAAAAACTAGTAGTTGTTTCATTACTGTGGATCTTTTGTATTGTGTTCGCGGCAGCTCCAATTTTAGGATGGGGCGAGTATACATTCCAGCCAGATGCCGTTCCAATCTGTGGACTTGACATGAAATTTTCTCAGTCATTTACAATCGTTCTCATTGTACTTGGATTCTGTGCACCCTTGATCATAGATATATTCTGTTGTGGAAGAATAATATCTATAGCTCGGCGTCAGTCAAGGTCCATAGAGTCTAGGAAAGGTTCTGACGGTTCCACATCAAGTACAACTTCGTCGCGAAGTACCTCATCTACAAAAAGTATTCAACCAATTCCAAAGTTGACCAAACTGAAACAAAAGATCAACTCTCTGAGACTAGTCTTTGCAGGAACTGGTAAGATCTCATTATATAATAACTATTAAACTAGCTCCTCATTTTACAAAATATAAATTAAGAAAGGTTTTGCACTTGATGATATAACAGTCAGTTCCTAAATTGAAGAACGAATGATTAAAATTGTTGATAGAATTATACTCTTAAAAATAGAAAGGCCCATTTTTTTCAAAATTTAAAACATTTCCACTACATTCAATTTAAGAAACAAAAGAAGAAAAAAAGAAAGAACAAAAGATAGAAATATAACTGTAACCCAATTTAATATAGTTACAAAGCTCTGTTTAGAAAAAAAATCAGTGACTTATTTAGGAAAGAAGATCAGGACCTAATCTTAAAGTATGAATGGCAAAAACAAAATTAACTCAGTCATCATTTCATACATTTCCACTTTATTTTTCAAAGTTTTATTCAAAGTCTACTACATTTTTTGAATATGAGAAAATAATAAAATGTTTATTTATGTGATCTCTTATAAGATAAAAATTATATGTGCCAAAAATTTCTTTTGTAATCTCTTATAAGATGTATGTGCCAAAAATGAAATGCTATAACTACTTAACTATATCAATTATTAAAACGTTTAGAAAGTTCTCGAAGCATTGGTGATTTTTTTTGTCAATTCGCACGTGAGCGTCTACATAAACTGATTTCTTTAAATCGTCTAAATACATTTAATTAAATGAGCGACAAGTCTTTGTATACGTCCTATTTTACTGATAAATGATAAATATTATTATCATAATCATAATGTCATAATGTTGCGAGTAAGTGTAGTTGATAATATAGTGTCAACATTTTTGACAGTCTCGCGTTTGTCTTAAATGTAGATATACGACACAATGACATGGTCTAAGGATAAACTAAAATGCAATTTAAACATATCAGTAACTTACATTTGAAAAAAAATGCAGACATTTAGACAGTCTCGCGTTTATCTTAAATGTAGATATACGACACAATGACATGGTTTAAGGATAAACTAAAATGCAATTTAAACATATCAGTAACTTACATTTGAGAAAAAAAATGCAGACATTTACGAAGAATGATTAAGTATAGTCAAGATTTATGTCATTTGCAACGTTTGGGCGGAGTTATGTGCTTCCGAACATCACGATATGTGATATAATGAAAACGGTTATTTTTAAAGGATGGAAACACATTCAAATTTAATCAATTGATATAAGAACATATATTTTTACAATATGTTCTAAATATATATCGTTTCATTGTGACCGAAAACGAATTAATAAGAATTTGATATTTGAAAGAGCAGCTACATTATAAAAATACTTTTAAAGACACCGCTGCCATGGCTTAAATTGAAATACATGTATATCAATTGATTTCAAATTAGGAAAAAAAAGAAGAAGAAAAAAAAGAAAATTTGAGTCTAAAACTGAATTTGGTTTGATATTTTCCTCACACATCGGTTGAGGGTTCTAAGTATTAGATATAATGAAAACTCGGAAAGCTTAACAAGCTAGGATAAGTTCATTAGATATATAAAATATTTCGTTTTCAAGGCGAAGTGTCATTTTGCTTTAATTAACACTTTTCTTTTTTCTGGTTTCGCTTTTGATTAATAAAATGAGCCATGCAAAAACATGGCAGAAAACATAACCGCAACACTTTTAAAGTAAACCACAAAGTCATGTTTTTAACCTGACAAAGGTCAACGTAACTTTGTAATTCTCGTATCATGAATTCTTTACAGTCCAGAAAAAAAACCGAACATATTACTAACTCACACATTATAATGACGTCATTAAACAGAATACATGTGTTTGTACCCTTTTTACATAAATCAAATGTTTTTTTCCATGATACACCAATCCTAAACTTCTGACAGGCATGTCATATCTTTCAATCAACTGTACAATATCAGTACATTCCTTAATGAGGATTTTACGTCCCATAATGACTTTAATTTGCATTTTCTGAGAATTTTGGAAAAAAAACTAGCTTTGTTGGAGGTTATTATGAACGCCAAGATGACGTTTTTGACAGCAAATTAAGTTGTTTACATACATATTTGTATATATCTGTACTCATGTTAAACAAATTTATAGAGCATCTTAACTGCGTAGTTTGCGTTATATGTTTCAAATTTGCAAATCAATCATTAGCAAATGAGTTAAATAAAAACAGCTTAACATTTAGTTGATATTGAAATCATTTCTTAAAAACACAATAAGTGAATTTTTCAATAGTAATCTAATTAATAAAATAAAGGTATTGGCTTATTCAACTATAAGAAGAAAACAGAAGGCATTTACCTGATGTACTGGTATGGTTTGAGCACAGAATTGTAAGCTTTAATGAAGTACAAATCATTCTACTTGATTTTATAAATGCTTAAACAGTTTCAAAAATGCAATATCTGCAATATTTTGACATTGGCAAAACGTCAAATATAACGTTTAAGATGTTGTTACAAATATAAATATAGCGTAAATGATTTTTCTTAGGTCTGACAACATGTAAAACACTGTTTAAAACGTTTACAAATGAACTTACAACTTATATTTAGACAACATTTGCCTAAAAATAAACACGAAATATAAATCATTCTTGTCGTTTTGTAAAAACTTCCGTACTGCCTAACATCGGGGATATAATTACATTAAACAAAATGATGTTAAACATGCCCGATCAAGAACAAAGATATTCATATAACATTATATCAAAGCTCAATTTAAAAAAGGGGAAAGTTTCTGAAGTTGATTCTTTCATTCTATTTGCAAATTATATGCATAGATAACTTATATATAACTGATATTTTTAATAAACGTGTTGTTCAAGTCAAACGTGTTCTTGTTAATGAAAGAAAGAGGATAGGCTGTTTTATTATTTAATTCTTTTAATTTTCTTAATTTTTAGTCATTATTTAGAATATTAAATCATCTTGTCTGATTATCATATACATAGCTTTTTAGTAAAGTTTTATCAAAACATTGCCTTAATGCTTGTTGACCGATTTACTCAAAAGTAGGTAACCATTAATAGCTTGTACGTAAAACACAAACGTTTTTTTGCGTATGTAACGGTCATAAATCAGTCGTCCAACATAACGATGTCATATTTACGTTAACAAAACCTATTATTTTCATTACCTTAGTGATTATGCTCAAAAAAGTATTTGGTGTGAAGAATGCCCGTTTATAATAATGTCACTTATGTAGTTACAGTTTATGGCTAAATTCATAGGTGCAATATGTTTATTTATGAGTAAAAATGGTATTCACAACGTAAATAATGTAAACAATGACCTTATTTTGGGTTTATACCATAAGAAGCAGTAATCTTCAATTATGCCACACATTCCATTCGTATTTTCAGAATGTTTGAATTAATTTCAAATTGTGAAGTGTTATTCTAACAATATCTAATGTATTTTTATTTTGTGTATTTTCAGGCAGTTTCCTGATATGTTGGTTACCGTACCTTGGCGCTCACGTCTGGATGACAACAGTCAGGAATCTAAGTCATAACAAAGAGTCCATGCCGTACATCCTCGAGTTCATAGTCATGTGCATTGCCCTGGTCAACGGTCTCATCAACCCCGTAGTTATCATGCTTTCAAACCGAGATTATAGAAAAGAATTGAAAGGACTATTATTCAAACGGTTTGGATCAATCAGTTCTGATGAACGCAGCGAAACCGAGTCCACACCTGCTCATGCCAGACGAACCCAGTTTAAAAGTCTGAATCTCACAAACACTTTCCAAACAATTCAGGAATTCCACATAGATGTTTCTCCACACACACCCCAGGAAACATCGTGTCTTAGAAAACAGGAGAGCGATAGTGCACTGGATAGCCCAGCTGACAGAAGTCCCTCAACACCATCTACAGAGCTTCTAGATATTCGTAAACTTTCCGTCATGTCCAACTGTACGGAATGTATCAAACTTATAACGAGATCAAAATCAAACGGCAGTAATAATGAACTTGAGTCTCCTATGGAGTTGATAAGTGGGTTTCCATCTCCACATGGAACTGTAACAAAAACCAGCTCGAATGAGCAAACCGAGACTAAGATTGACTTTGATCATATCGTCACTGGTATAGTGATAAAGTGAATTCCTGAACATGGACTAAATTCTGATTACGCGCATCGAAATGCGTTAGATCAAATTTAACTGTTCGAGACACGATTCGTAACAAATGGAGCTTATTTCGACGAAGGGGATAGCATGACTCGTGTTTACCTATCATAACCATCATAGTTACAGATAGTAAAGTAAATATAACACAGTAAAGTCATAGAGGAGAGATCAAATTTAGCACGTTCTTCAATGGTTTAGTTCTTCAAATAATAATAAAGATTTTGTTGAGTAAAATACATTTTATGCATATTGTCGAACTAATTAAGTTATTGCAAATGACTTTTAAACAAACAGGAAAATAGAAGTATAAAAACGTCATTAATATTAATAACAATATTTAAAGACTACCTTATTAATTTGATCATAACACAAATTGTAAGACGTGGTCCATGTCGTGTCAAATTAACAAAAAATACCTTTCGAGTTGACTTAAAGTTGAAGGACGGTTAAAGGACGAGGCCACGTAATCACGTGATGGAGTAGAGGTGAGGAGAGCAGCCGAAGTTCAGTCTAGTGTTCTTAACTAGCACAGGGACAATCAAACATTCATACAAGATGTTGTCAACTTTTTTTGTCTTGGTTCACTATGTACAACATTTTAATATACTACATTTGTCACCTTTGAACTACAATTGTACAACTTTTGAACATAGATAATATTTGGTTATTATAAATCTGATAAAACAATATACTTTTATAATGAAGATCTGATACAATTATACTGTAATAAAAGTATCATTAAAACCAAACTCTTGTTATATTCCTCCTCTAAAACAATCCCAATCCACCCACTCAGGTTTGCTAATCAAAATGTTATGTCAAAGAGAAAAATGCCGAAGATATAAATCTTCAAGATGTATTGACCTTTAATCTTAACTTGCTGACAAATGGTCCTTAACTTCTCAAACGCGATTCACTTGAAATGAACACAAACGCCCACAGAATGGTGTGACATACTATTTTAATTCAGTCTGTATTCGAGTTTATCCAGAGTCATATAAATAACACAATTACTTTATATATCACAGATGCATATTCTTGAATACTTAATCTGGTGAACTTGTGTATCGAATTACCTCATCTTTGAATGTCAAAGCTAAACAATTCAGTAACCATCGGTATACGACCTAATATGACTAAAAGGATATGCGATGCAGGATTGCCCTGCTCTATACAGGTGGCAAAAATTAATCACTTTTTGTGCCAGCAGGTTAACGAAAAGGTTATAAAATCGTACAAATAAATAATATACTATCTGAAAATTTATAATCATTAAAATGCCTTATCATTAATTTGTCTAGGTAGATATAGATATATGATATGTTTGATGTTAGTCACAATAAGACAAACTATTCATATTTTAAATATCTTACGAATATTTATTGTAGTACTATCTCAAACATTTCTAAGCGGTAAATTGAGTCTTCTAAATATTAAATACATATTGATGTGAGACATTATTCCCGAAACAGATTTATCTACTTACAAGATTTATTGTTCTACTTCAAGTATTTTACTTTTGAGCTCGCCGACACCGTTCATCAGTTAAAAGTAAGTTAAATGATCGCAAATGACATAGCCTTCAACTTGTAGGTTGCTTTAGAAAAATGAAAACAAACAGCGGACAACAACGCACAAAAAGACATGGACCATTCTTTGCTTAGGTGACCAAAAACAGACCCATTTTAAACTGGAGCGTTATCTTTAAATGTCAAGGTATTCGCAAAAATAGAAATGAATTAACTGTTTGGGCCGGTGTTACATTCACTGTCATCACTTAATTATGTTGTCTTGATTTATTTTGTTCACCGTTTGGCTTAGTATAGGAGTAGCCTAATTATAACAATAGTTTTGGTCCTGCATCTTGGAGATTTATTTACATCGGTGTGTGCATTAGTGGGTTTATATTCATCATGAAGTAAAAAAGATGAACACAATATGAACAAATGTGTCAATCATTTTCATATCAATGTATGGAAACATGTTGTTTAATGAAAACTTGTTTTAATCTGTCAATAATTGAAATGAGAAGAAAAAAAAATTGTTGAAATTTACGAGTACTGAGACGTTATGATGATAACTTTTACAAGAAGTCCAAAGCATACAGAAAGTATAGGCGCACACATCTTGATATTTTAGAGGTAAACAAAGTAACTAGTAGCAGACGACATTAAACATTTTAATTGTTATCATTGAATAAACTAAGCAAAGTTTAGTAACAAAATGGCACATATGTTATTCCTCATCATACATTTTGTCTCAAGCATAATATAAATGTCATTCTTGCTTGTTTTAATAATGTCTTTGTTTTCTGTATCCTCATCGTAAAATCTATTCTGGTTCCCTGCCTGCAAGTAGTGTAGAACTCCAGACTATGAATAGTCTTTTTCAAGGTCAAATTATCTTGTCTTTCAAAGATAAAGCAAACGGCGTACTACTAGTATTTTATCATTTTTATGACTAACATCAGCAACATTTATGCCTCTAATTTTGTTTTTGAGAACTTTACTAAGATATTATCAAAAGATAAATCAGCTTCCGGCTCTCCTACTGCTGTCCTTGCCCTATAGGGAATTTAGTTGGCTAAACTTGTTTAACAATATATTTGTAAATTAATGGAAAAAAAACAACAACAAAAAAACAAACAATAAAGCAATGTAAAGTGAATGACATGACATTGCCTTTCAAAACGTGCATGGTAAATGTTAAATATATATAAAGCATGCATCTTCTTTTTTGTTTGATCTCGTAGTGGTTATTCTAAAAAATAAAAAGATACAAAGGCTATAGACAGGCGTGGTGTAAAATTATGCGTTCTTGATATTTCCGCTATTTGTGTTTTGTACAATCCTATTGTTATTACAATAAAAGGGTTTCTTTTTTAATTATTCTTTTTTCCCATCTTATCAACATTTAATTGCGCGTTTTTGGTTGTTGTTTTTTTGGGTTCAAAATGCACGTGAATGTATGCAAGGAATGACAGTATTGAACTTTTTACCTTCTATTATAAAACTGAGGCACATACCTTAATACGAAAATAGACATTGATGCAGCCAACCAAACGCTCGAGACATGTTTCTTGTAAACTTGTGAGAGAGGCTGTTGCATCTAAACATTGATATTTCATTTTAACATCTTGTTTGACAACTGAAAAACGCATATGAAAGACGAAAGTCGAACAAAAGTTTTATTTCGAAACATTTAAAGCAATTATTAAGATATGTAATACAATAAGGAATTTCTTTATGACATGTAACGTCGTGTAAGTGGGTTTTGCGAATTTATTTGAAAATTTCCTTTATTTATTTTTTTCATGACAGGACATTGCCAAAAAAGGTCTAAATAAACATATGATAACAGTATAATCAATTATGATTCTAAAATTCCAAAGAATGAATCTTGCCCCAAGACTGTGCTTGAGTTAGCTTAAGTTCTTATAACATTATATTTTCACACATATGTTTTTCCGTACTTCATGTATTTTTGAATAAGTAACTAATATTCGATCAGCAAGTAAACTCATCTCAAAGTGACATAAGTAACGTATTTTTTACGTACTTATTATCACCAATAACCGATCATGTGAAGGACGCTTCATCTTCCTTTCCTCTGTATTTTAAAATATGCCCAACGTTAAAAAATCAAATAATTAATACAAACAATGATTGGTTAGCATTTAAAGCAGTTTCCGACTCAGTTCTTAGAAACATTTACACATTTTTCTTTAGAAAAAAATCTGCATTGAAGGTTAATTAAATGTATTTTTTCAAACTTTTTTTCTTGTTTTAAGATTGCTGCAACATGTTATTCATGATGTTTAAGTGGAGAGTTATCATGTATGCACCGGTGTACACACTGTGAACCTCCAAAATAGTAGTAGTTAAATGTTACCTCCTTGCAATACATTTGCTTATAAATAGTTTACAAGATACATATATATTGCAAAAATGTATAGGGATTGTGAAAAAAATCATCATTTTGTATTGATATATTTTTGCTTTAAAACTTTGAAAACATTATTTTGATCAGCAGGACCCTGTCATTTGATATCATTTAAAAAGTGGAAACAATAATCTGTCCGATTACATGAGCATATTGTAATATATAAGCGAATACACTTTGATAAACATAGAAAATTCACTCCTTGTAATTAAAACATAGACGACGAATTTCATTTTCTATTTGATTGCCAAAATCTTACTACAGCTTGAAAAAATATCTCTTAATTCTATTATATAAATCCTATTATAATGAAGTTTAAAAAAATAATGAGCACTGTTCTAATTATTATATAAATAAGCATTTTTTAAAACATAGTATTAGAAAGTATTGACTAAAACATTTATACTTTCTCCTGTATATGTAGAAATGTCTATGTAGAAAGGAAATTGTAAAATGACAAATGTGAGCTATATGCTTTAAAACTCGACATTTTAAAAAAAATGTTATGTATCTCATATTCAGATGGCAATGGCAATGTCCAGCCTAACAGTACCGCATTTAAGGCGGCACCCAGTGGGCGCACCGAACAAGAACAAGACAAAATAAGCTGGTTAGAGAAAGAAACTATATTGTAATGAATATATCCGGTATATATCTTCTTCAAAAATAGCATAAGTAATATTCATGTAGTCAAGGAATGACAATACTGAATAAAAGTTTATACATTATCTTCGAAATGTTATTTGTAAACAAATAATTGAGCGGTCCGTTTACTCATAAATGTGATATCTGACCGCTATACATGGCTAGAAAGGCCAGTCACATGTTGTTAGACTATAAAGATACATATAATTTAATGTTTATTCATCAGTTTCTCACAACATTGTTTACTTCAGACGCAAGGTTGGTCTTAATGTGTGGTAGTTTGACCAATATCATGTTCGGTTGTAGAACACGTGACGTGAAGATAAAAGAACGCTGATTGATATTGATAAAGGTCATCCAAAGGGGACGATTAAAATAAAAGTCGTACGACGTATGATTAATTCATATTTTCTTTATATAGGGAAGCATTATGTCATTAGTGTCACTTGTGCTATTGTACTTTAGCTTGTGAGGTTTGTTTTACTGTGATGTTTAATATTTTTGAAGGTCCTCACTCCGAAGCGCGACGCCCTTTATGGAATGAAATCAGATTTTGTGAAAGGGCAATTGCAACTTCTCAGGCCTTTTCGTCGGTCATAAAAGCCGATCATTCCGATTGGTATGAGGGTGTTTGATTATCAAAAATGAAATGTCGCTATATATACAATGGATAGCGAACTGGAGAGTTTCGCAATGCAAACATATTCAAATGGAATGATATTATCCGTCAATTAATCGCGCTCTTCCGATTATTTTTATCAATCACGGTGGGTTATTATGTCTTGCTGTACCTAGACTGATAACCTTAACATTGTGAAAGTCCGAAAATCTATTTATAGAAGTAGTTTTAGTTTAACGAAACGGTCATTCGTGTGGCGATATGGTAATTAATAACAAACTGGAGAATTTTGCAGGAAATGAAATGCAAACATATTCAAACAATTAATTGAAAATCTATAGAAAAAATGTAAGTAAGCCATATTTACGAATTGTTATATCATAGTATTATCATTTCGAAATTGTCTTTTCCGTAGGTTCTTTCTGATTTTCTTTTTTACGACCCTGATTGCACTTATGACAATTTTACCGTGAATATTTAAATAGACCTAGTTCATAACTTAAAATATTGCTTTTATTTGTTGACGTTGTGCGACAGCTTACAGGCCTAGC